GTGAAACATCACAGTTCTGAGTTCATGGTGCTCCTTTCTTTTTGGGGCCAGCTGTTAACTCTTTATGGGTGATTCCTTCCAAGGAGCCCTGTCCTCAGCACCACAGTAGAGTACCTGGTGCCTAGAAGACGTGGGATGTGTTCTTCTCAGTACTGCTGTAAGTCTGTTTCAGCATCTTTGCTGTCCACTGGCTTCCCATGGTGCCTGTATCTTTGTTGTTTGCTGGCTACCCACAGTGCCTGTGGTTTTCTGGACTTAGCCCAGCACGACTGGCAGCAGGGAACCAGTGTTACCTCCTGCCCAACTCCCTAAGTCTCATGTGCCCCTCATATTCAAAGCTCTCATGTCTCAAGGGTCAGCCACACCTCAATCCTTGACAGTCTTTCTAATTCAGGAGAACCTCTTTCAGCTCTTGCCTTTTTAAAATTTCACTGTGGTCTTCCAGAAGTCTCTGTCTCTCTGTCTCTCTGTCTCTCTCTGTCTCTCTGTCTCTCTGTCTCTCTGTGCGCGTGCACGTGTGTGTGCACGTGTGTGTGTGTGTGTGTGTGTGTGTGTGTGTGTGTGTGTACTCAAAAACTGTCCACCTTGTTTTTGGAGACAGGTCTGTTCTCCAAAGCCAGGCTGGCTGGTCAGGAAACCCCAGAGAAACACCTGTCACTTACTCCTCAGCATCAGAATTATATCACAAGTCTCCATGCCTTGCATTACATTTTTAAAAAATTTATGTAGGTTTTGGGACTGGAACTCAGGTCTTCACCCTTGTATGACCATGTCTTTGGGAATACCCTCCCCCACTCACCCAAGAGATGGTCTGGATGGCTCATCAAACCAAACCCATAGCCAATCTAAATTGTAAGGCCACAAAAACTCAAACTGAAATATTTTCAGGACATGATTAAAGTAGTTAAATTCCATCTCTTTAAGTACAGTGGAGTAAAGAACTAACAGAACAATTGAATTGCTATATTAGAACTCTATGCAAGTTGATATATCTAGATGCAGTGGAGCTATGAGTAAACTAAAGTAATATGTTAACACTCAACAATGCTCTGTTTGGCATCATGTAAGATCTTGACCTGTAGCTCCTTAATAGAGACATACTCAATAAGGAAATGCTGGTTTGGGTTTCCAGTTCCAGGAGAAGTAACAAACCCAGCCATTAAGTAAGCTGCTCTCTGCAAACTGTCCAAATTACTGAGTAACTAAGGTAAGAAATGAGAGATTTCTGTTCTTTAGTTATCTGCACTGGTGGAAACAAGCAATGAGGCTTTTGCTGTTGTTTTTCTCCAATTGAGTTCTTCATTGAATGAGAGGGAAATAAAGCTTGCAAGAAAACCATCTCTAGGGAGGAAGTTCCCTTTGCACAGAGCATTTCACACTTGTGCTGCAAGAATCCTGGATACAGGATGAACCTGGCTGCACTGAATGATGGGACAGGGAGGAAAAAGAAAAGACTCTACACCCAAGCCCTGTGCAGAGATAAGGCACACCTTCTTACTTCCTCCTCTACAGCATGAGAAGCCTTGCCGGGGTTTCTGGGAATGTGACCCGTGATTGCCTGACATAACCGTCTATGCAGTAAATGCAGCAGCAATGAAGGAACAGCTTAAGGGTTTAGTAAGTTCTTGCCATGGGTCTTTCTTTGTCTTTTATCATGGAAAGAGAAAGGGCAAGGGCAAAGCTGCTCAAACAAGTAGCAAAATTGGCGACCTAGTGTAAAGAGAAGCCTTCCCGCCAGCCTGGTTCCAGAGCCGCATCAGTCCCAAATAAACACACAGGAGGCTATATTAATTATGAAGCTGTTGGCCTTGCTTGCTTCTTACTGGCTAGCTCTGACTTAAGTATTTACCCCATAATTGTTAATCTAAGTATTCTCTTACCAGAGAAATTTCTGGGCTTCCTACCCCATGGCGGTTACATCTTGACTTCCTGTGTTTCTCCTTCCCAGAGTCCTCCTCCACTCCTAGTCCCACCTATCTTGTTTCTCTATTGACCAACAGTGCTTTATTGACATATACACAGGACTTCCCCAACAACCTAGTCTCCAAGTTTCAGTGTTTTTGTTTATTTGTTTGTTTTGTTTTTTTCCTATGCTGGGGTAATTTTTCATCAGGTCAAAAGAAAAACAAAGAAACAAAAACACCAAGTGTGTGATAAAATACAAGTAAGGTGACTACCCAGAGTCAAGGACTGGAGACAAACTTTGCACAAGACCTTATAATGATCCCCCAAGCAGCCATCAGATTTATCAGATGCTGTGTCACTTGAGATATGGCTGAGCTCTGTTGATATCATGAGACATTTCAGGGTGGCTTTATAGAGCAGAGACCAGGAGGCTAGTCAGTTACTGATTCATCATTTACAACGGGGCAAGACAGTCAGTAGCAGGCACCACAAGCTCAGAGAGAGAGAGAGAGAGAGAGAGAGAGAGAGAGAGATACAGAGATACAGAGACAAACAGACAGACACAGAGACAGACAGACAAGAGAGACAGACAGACAAGAGAGACAGATATCATGTCTCCTTGGGGAGCCCCGGGCTATTCTCTGCCAGCATGATGTGTCCGTGGAAACTGAGACACTTACATCCTCTATTTTTTCAGAAGACGGTGATATATAGAGAAACCAAATGTCCTTAACAAGATCACACAGACAGTAGACTGAGAATCAGGATCCAGTGCAAACACCAATTCACTCTATCGCTCCTTTCTCATCTACGGTTACCACCAATACTTAACCCCTAAAGAGTGAGCCACACTGATATCCTGATACCTGATGGAAACCGTCATGTCCCCACATCTCTGAAGACTAAGTAAACAGTCACAAATTCCACTAAAATCACAAACATATCTAAAACTTTCTACATACCTTGAGCTGGTGCTGCCCCAAAGCAGTGTGATTTTGATGCAATTTTTACCTTCACTTTAAAAATTCAGAGGTAGGCAGATCTCTGTGAGTTCAAGGTCAGCCTGGTCTACAGAGTGAGTTTCAGGACAGCGAGGACTGTTTCACAGAGAAACCCTGTCTTGAAAAAAAATCTATTTTCTTCAAATGTTTTCTTCCTTCCCCTGCCATTCCTGGGAAGACCAGCACATCAGAGAGAAGAGATACAGTCATAAGAATCACTCCATCCAGCTTGTTATGTTGTCAATATTTCCCAGTGACTTCACTCTGAAAACAGCTTCCGAATTCCACCAGCATTCCATTTTCCCACAAGAATAAGCATCAGACCTTATCAGCAAGAGACAGTGAGTGCAGCACATGTCACAGGGTTGGGACACAGTTCCAACATAGTAATTGCCCACCAGCAATAACCAGATTGACTGGTGCCTGATGGGTTAGTTGCATGGAAAACAAATGTCTTTCTCACCTTCCATAAATTCACCCAGGAAATCCATTCTTGTGAACTGTTTTTCTCCCTAGACTAGTTCAGTACTCTGTCTGCTTCCTCAATAACCATTTGTTACTTCCAGCAACATACACACACATGTGAACGCACACGCACGCACACACACACAACACACACACACACACACACACAAATGCCGTCAGCAACAGAAGGCAGCCCTCTCTTCCACACAGGAGATATTGAAGTAGATAATGCTCTGCAGAGCAAAGAGCAGCTGAAGATTTGATGTGGTTAGTGTCACAGCCGTATCATCCTGACCCCATAGATGCTGTAACCAGTGATCTATCTGCAGTCGTATCCATGTTGCTATTGCAACATTTCCAGTCAAAAACTCCCTTGCTCTGTGCCTCTCATATTTCTTCTGGACCTGCTTTTCCTTTGCAGACCAAGGGGCCTTTTCCCACCACTTGGGATAACCCCAAAATGGTCCTACCAAATGAATGCCCTTGACCACTTGGAAATGTGACATCAGTAGATTTCCCAGATTCCTCGGCAGTTCACCATGGCTCATGAGTGAATTCTGACCAGTGGAACGTGGACAAACTGATAATGTTCATATGACTCCACGCCCTGACCTACAGAAAACTTTGTGTGCCTCACTCAGCTTCCTTCCTCCGTTTGCCAGCAGGATTCAGGAATTGGGTGTCCAGAGGATGGAGCAGCACCAAATGAAAGAGGCTTGAATCCCTGAATTACCATATAGAGAGGGATCCCTTAGAGCATAGCCTACACTGCAATCTAGCATGATAAATAATTGACTTACATTAAGAAACTAAAATGTGGGGATTTTTAGTAGATGCTTCATGTATGTTTGTATTAAGAGTTATGCAAAATAATCTAAATGTGTTGTCCTTTGGGTCAGATTTAAATAAATGTCAATATCAGTGCTGGAGAGATGGCTCAGCAGTTAAGAGCACTGGCTGCTCTTCCAGAGGACCTAGATCCAGTTCCCAGCACCCATCATGTGGTGACTCAAAACCATCTGTAACTCGAGCTCCAGAGGATCCAATGCCCCCTCTGACCTCTGTAGACACTGCATGCTCATGGTGAACATACATGGCGGCAAACACTCATTCACATAAAAATTGTAAATCTTTTTAAAAAAGCTAACATCACTTGAAAATCATTTCTGTTATGCTGCCTTGAAGAAAGCTAAACTTAAGTACTACTAAATGAAATGAAACCAGTTTTATTTATACCAGATTAGTAATTTATCTAATATGATTTATTGTAACACGTTTATCAAGAGAGGGCATGTGTTGAAATGTCTGGGTAAGTCTCTCAAGGTTTTCTGCCCTATGTATGAGTCTTCAAGAGTTTTGTCTCAAGCTTGTTTTGTGATTCTGAACTCCTTCAGAAAGCAGATTTATATTTAATCCAGAATGTTTCCTTGTTGCCAGGCATCCACCAATTAATAACACAAGCACTAGCTTTTAAAGCCAAAGCCAGGATAGGGTTGAAGAAAGGGACCCTAGAATTCCTGCCCTTAAGACTGAAAAAACAAGGAGGTTTCATGTTTGAAATTCTGTAATAGGTTTTCTTGTCTTTTTCCCCTCTGGCTTCTGCTCTGGGAAAGAGGAAGGAAGGAATTACAGTTCAGTACTTAAAAGTTGGTGACTGATGTATTTTTGTCTGGTGCTCATGGTGGAAATGATGCTCATCTACAGCAGAGAATGTTCTGGCAAGTGAGAGGACGGATGGACAGCAGTGCACTGAGGGGGCCACAATACGAAAGGAAGAGAAGCAAACCGATGAAGTCATATCAGGCCCTGGAATTGAAATTGAAAATGGGACCAAGATCAGTTCTTGAAAGGAGACCCACGTAGGAATAAGGCATGCCTTCATGTGTAGCAAAGCCATGTATGATGAGCATGGTGCCGGTAAGTGGGAATCTGAGACTGAATGTGTTGTACCCAAGCAAATCCCAAGCCCAAAGCTTCCCGAGTTGGTTACTTTACTTGTTGCTATGACAAAACACTTGACAAAAAGCAACTTTTAGAAGGAGGGTTTGTTTTGGATCACAGTTTGAGAATACATGGCCACAGGGAAGGCTTGACAGCTGCAACAGGAACCAGGGCTTATGGAAGGCTTGACATCGGGAGCAGGAGGCAGAGCCACAGTCAGGAAGCAGAGGAAGAGCATTGCTGGTCTCTGCAGCTTGCTTTCTCCTCCTGTTTCAATCCGGAACCCCAGCCCGTGGGATGGTGCAGCGCACACAGGGGTGGATCCCTACTTCAGTTAGCTCTCCCTGGGAACACCCTTCCTCACAGGTGTGCCCGGGGTGTGATGTCTGAGTGGCTCTAAATCCAGTCAAGGTGATGATAGAGGCTGGCCCTCACAGAGTCCCTTACTGTTCAGCTCTACCCTGATAGCACTCTCACTGTGAAGACAGATAAGCATTAGGATTGTTAGGCACCCCACACGGTGGAGCATGGGGCAGGGGAAATTGCTCACACCAGGAAAGTAACCTTGGATGGAACAATGTGCTCATTTTCAAATGAAGACCAAGCATATTAGTAAGTGAACAGTATGTTGACTGACTTTCATATTGTACAGCAGGAAGGAAGACTAATTAGGCCCAGGAGAGTAGATTAGGATAGATAGGATTTGTGTACGCAAAACACATCAAGTCTGAGATTCTTGCTAACGGGCAGCATGCTCGCACATAGCTTTGCTCTACCTGAATGTGTTCCTCTATTTTGCTCACTGTTTTGTTTAGGCAAAACTCTTCCATGATGGGCCATTCAGGAATTCCAAGTCCTTATCTTCAACCCTGTCCTGGCTTTGGCTTTTTAAAATAGTGCTTATACTGATATTGATGGATATTTAGTGTGGCAATTTAAATGAGAAATGTCCCCATAGGTTCAGACATTTGACCACATGGCTCCCAGTTGGCGGCACTGTTTTGAGAGGTTGAAAGGTATGCATAGCCTTGCTGGAGCAAGCCTGTCGACAGGGGAGACTTTGAGAGGTCAGAGCCTACCCTTCTTATAGATTGCTCTCTCTGCTTCATGCTCGTGTTTGAAGATGTGAGCTCTTAACTTTCTGCTCCTCTGCCCCTGGCTGCTGTAACTCCCTGCCATTGCTAAGGAGCCAAAAGCCAAAATAAACTCTTTCTTCTATAAATTGCCTTGGTGTTTTATCAGCAACAGAAGAGTAACTAATGTATTTGGCAGCAATCAATCATCCCGGTTTAAATATAGTGCTGCCTTCTGAAGGAGTTCAGAATCACAAAACAAGCTTGAGACAAAACTCTGAGGCTTGTATATAGACCACGTGGCTGCCTCTTTTCTTTCTCCTCCTAATTTCTCTTGGTCATTTTCCCCTCAGTTTTTTTTCACCTCTCCTTTCTTTCCTTTTATTGAAAACAGATTATTTTTCCTTCACACATTATGTCCTGATTATGGTTTCCTCTCCCTCAACTCCTCCACTCCCTCCCTTCTTCCCCTCCCATCCACATCCAGCCCCTTCTCTCATTGGAGAATAAACAGGCTTCTAAGGGATAATAATAAAATCAAATATAGTAATATAAACCCAAAACTAGCATGTCAGGATAGGACAAAACAAACAGAAGGCAAAGAACCTAGGAGAAGCCACAAGAACTAGATCCATTGTTTGCACACAGGAATCCTATAAAAAACACCAAACTGGAAGCCATAACATATACACAAAAGGCCTGTAGGTTAGAAAGAAAAAATATAAATAAGATAAAATTTGGAGAAAAAAGAAGAATCGATAGTACTACATTATGAGACAAGGAACCTCCAAAGATGCTATTGAGTTCTTTGTGTGTTGGCCATCTACTGTTGGACATGGGACATGACCTTAAGAGTAGTTTGTTGAGGTAACCAAGTCACAAAAAGAGAAACATGGTATGTACTCACTCATATATGGATTTTAGACATGAAGCAGGGGAGTGCCAGCATACAATCCCACTGCCAGAGAGTCTGGGAAACATAGCCTTCATCTAGCAACTGATGGAAGCAGAGGCAGACACCCACAGCTAAACACTGAACTGAACTCCTGGAATCCAGTGACAGAAAGGGAGAACTGATGGACAAAGGAGTTAAGACTGGGCTGGTTTAACCCACAGAAACAGTTGACCTGAACAAGGGAGAGCTCTTGGACCCCAGATTGATGGCTGGGTGAAAAGCATGGGACTGACCCAGACCCCCTGAATCTGGTTGTCAGTGAGGAGGCCTAAATAATCTATGGGGCCTTGGGTAGTATTTATCCCGGGCATACAAATGGACTTTGGCTGCCCATCCCACAATGAGGGATGCTCTCTCAGCCTGAACTCTTGGGGGAAGGCCCTAGGCCAAGGCCTGGATGAAATGACAGCTCTGGAGATCCTCCATGGAGGGCCTCACCCTCCCTGGGGATCGGAGTGGCGATTGGGGAGTTTGTTTCCCCAGTGAGACTCCCTCAGAGGAAACTACATTTTCATTTGCAACTGGCTATCAATTGGAGATATCCTTTAGGTTAGGGATGGGGTCATGTGTCCACCTCTCCTTTCAGTTCTAGATCCCTATCTAGGGAAGACCCTTGTAGGTCTTCCATATGCCGCCTCAGTCTGTGAGTTCATATGTGCATCGATCCTGTTGACGTAGAAGGCCTTATTTATCTGGTGTCCTCCACCCCTCTGAATCTCACACTCTGTTTGCCTTCTATTCCAAGGGGGTTCTCTGATCCTGAGGGGAGGGATTAGACGAAGAGATCCCTTTCAGGACTGAGTATTCCAAGGTCTCTCATTCTCTGCATAATCTCTTGCTGTGCATCTCTGTGTCTGTTCCCATTTACTGCAGGAGGAAGCTTCTCTGATGATGGCTAAGCAAGGCAATGATCTATGAATCAATCAGAATGGCATTAGAAGTCATTTCATTGCTTTTGTCCATTACAACAGTAGTTTTCTGTTTTTCTATCTAGTCTCAGGTTCTTGGTCACCGAAGCAGTGTTTTGGTATGGGTCCCAACTCCTGGAGTGAGCCTTAGGTCAAATCAGATATTGACTGGTTAGTCCCATAAGCTTTGTGCCACAATTGCACTAGCCTATCTTGTAAGTAGGACACGATCGTAAATCAAGCATTTTGTAGCTGGGTTGGTGTTTACATTTCTCCTTTGATAGCATGCAGAACACCTTCCTGTACCAAAGACCCTAGCATGTAGGTGTGAAGACTTTATGTAAGTGACAGCTTGACTTCTCTGTGCTCAACGTGTTGCGTACATGACTTCAGCAATGGGTCCTTGCCATCAGTTTGTGGAGAGCAACTTAAAAGTCTTGGCAACAGCTTGGGTTGTTTGAGGGTTACCATGGGGCCCCTTTGGCTAGCATCTCAATTAGGTGTAACACGAGCCTGGTTTTGGAAGCTTCATTTGGTGAGAAGAGAAGACCAACTGGGGCTCTGCTTCCCCCATTATTTGGTGATTTCACTTAGAACATCTTCACATACGTATATATTCTTGGTAGCTTATACTGCATTGTTTCCATAGCACCCCTCAAATGGCCCTTAATGTTTGCTGTCTGCCCCATATTCCATCTCTCATCCCCCTCATCCCCCTCTTCACTTGATTCTCCCTTTTCCTCTCCTCTTCGGTCCCTCTCCCTTTCCTTCCTCCTTACCCATCTTCCAGCTCACTTTTAGCCACATGTTTCTACTTCTCTTGCTCCATATCTCACCTCTCTTCATTTTCTTTCTCTTTTCTCATCATTTTTTTACTGTCAATTCAATTCTTTGAATATTTATTTGACTGGATAAAAATGAAAAGAAATCTACTCTTGTTGTAGTTTATCCAAGAGTGGGCCTGATTTTTCTAGAAGAGTTCAGATCTCAGTTCTGATCTCTTGAACAAAGTGTAACTGCCTCTTTTTATAGTAAATAGCAAGTATGGTATCAAGCAGGAACAAGGAACTTTTACAGGCATCTCCCAGGGAGGAGATAGGGTTTTGGCCTCATTGTGTGACTAGCACACAAAGCCACAATCATACGCTGTTCGTCTGTACCCATGTACTGCTTTCAATATTTTTCTTGAGAGGATGTAATATTTTCCACAGCTCCCTGTTTTTAGCAAAAGATCTTAGGCTCAATCAACCACCACTTTTTTTGCTGTTATTATCAACAACTTTTTTTATTTGCATTCTGCCATTTTTCTTAAATTCTTTTCTTTTTTAGAAAAACATAATTTCTTTATTTATTTTTTGAGGAACTTCACACCATGCACCCCAATCCAGCTTATCTCCCAGTTCCCCCATACCTGCCCTCAAACACTCCTCTTGGATATCCCATGGCTGCCCTGAGTCATGGAGATTCTGCAGGTATCATTCCATGGACACCAGTTCCTTCACAGGCTCCTGCAGGACATGGGACAGATGTTAGGGTAGGCAGACCCAGTGTTCTGGATGTGTGCCTAGGTAGCTGAACTGGTCAGTTGGGGACACTGGGGCCATCCCCTTCAGGTGAGGGGAGGAGCTAGCTCTTCTATGCCCATGCCATTGGAACCACTTCTCCTATGCCCACTGTGAAGGGTAGAGCTAGCTCTCCTGAGTACGGGATGGGGTGCTACTCTCCTGAGAAGGTCAGATCCAGTTTTCTTGCTGCAATATCTTTCCAGAGAGGGCAGGGCCAGCTATCCCAGGGCCAACAAAAGGCAGGGCCAGCTCAGCATGACCTTCTGATTCATCACACAAGGTTCCTGTGTCCCCCCAGGTGACAGGGGCCACAGACATCAACAAAGACCACAGTTGCAGCAGGACCAAGGACCTAGACATAGCCTTTGGCCACAGCCCAGTCCTGAACAATACCATAGCACTGGGTATCAGTGCAGGTCACTCAGATCGGCATGGCCCCAGGTGGCAGCCCAGACCCCAGGCATCCACATGACCT